ATACCCAAACCTTGCTGTTTGTTTATTCTTCTTCTTCACTCGCATCTTCCAAGAATCTCAAGTAATTTTAGCTTCTTGGGATGCTTGATGAATACTACCAGTATGATCTTGGCCGAATGGGGATCAGACATTGTACATGCACATACTGTCGTGTAGTGTATACCCTAGATGGATTTAGGAACTGATGCATCTTGTCAGAGTTTAAAAAGGTATTTGGATGCATTCCTGCATTCAGTAAGTATTACTAGCATCTTGCTTTTTCGCTTGCGGATGAAACGTCTCTTGTTCCAGACTGTTTGGATGAATGAATTCCTGAAGCAGCCATGTTCTTTGTTCAGAAAAGAAGCTGTCCCGTAGACATTGTTGCCTTCTTTGCAAGCATTTGCAGTTGCAGGTCAGTATCTTTTCGCTCGCTCCTGCTCTGGGTCTGGCTGACCACACGGTGGTGACTGGAGACTGGAGTATGGAGGGAGGCAGAGCACCACTCGCAGTCCTGCCACTGGCTCGGCGAACTGGCGAAAGATAAAGTGGAAAAGCGGAAGGGGGAGGAGACAGGCATCAAAAGGAGAGAAAGCGGGTGCAGGGAGATGCTGGGACAGAGAAAGCAGGTGCAGGGAAATGCTGGGACAGATCTGGTCTGCTCCTGTGGCCCGTGTCTACTAGAGTGGTGCGTTTTTCTTGCGTCCTCTCGCTGTTGCTACATGGCCGGCCGGCCTTTTCCTCCTCGTTCTCGACTTTGCTTTGTCCCACGCCAAGGCCCGACGCCGTTTCTTCTTCGTCATGCTCATGCTCTGTTTCTTCTGTCATGCTCTACTTTGCTTGGATCTACTGTGACCGGGCCAGCCTCCCTTGTCCGACCCTTAAGCATCGGCAAGACTGCAGGCCAGGTGGTCAGAGCTTAATTCTGCACTTTAGGAACTCAACAGATGATGCAGTGCAACTCTCACGCATGACGCTTATAGCCCAGATGATGCGGTGGCACTCCTATCCTTCTAGTATGGATGGCCACTTAGGTTATAGCCCAGATCGTACCAACGTTGTTGTCAGTATCGGTATCTTGATTTTATGATCAGGTAGGAGAGTATAATTTGTGGGATAATTGGATGTATTGCATTGTATTTTTTTCATAAACTGATTATATAGGATACATAGAACTAACATCCCACATGGGTAGACAATATGGTACTATTCATATTTACTCTAACATCCCCCACAGTCATAATAGTCGATGAGTCACGTATACTGTGGCTGGAGAAGAAGCCGATGAGTCCTCGTATAAAGCGGTAGCCCTTTGTGCTGATGTCGAGGTAGCCAAGCGTGAGGGCGCAGTAGCAGTAGTCGAAGAAGCCGTGCTGAAGATGGCCAAGGTCAACGCAATTGTAGTCGGGTTGCCGTGAAGAGGGAGCTGCAGACGCACAAGGGAATGCCATGATGATGACGGAGGGAGGAGGCGATGTCGAAGTCGATGTAGTTAGGGCAGTCGTGGACGTAGAAGAAAAGCGACGACACAATCGAGGTAGACGGGGTGGGAATGGGAGGGTCAATGCCGAAGTTGATGCAGTCAAGCCGCCTGAGCGCAGAGGCGCGGGCTGGATTTGCCAGACCTAGCAACGCGTCGAGGACGAAGGCACGTGTCGGTGTTGCCAATATCGGACGTACAAGATAGAGGGCCCCAACTATGCATCAGTGATGCTGACGACGTGGTTGTGCTGGACGAAGAAGGGCCTGTTCGGCTGGTATTAAAGCCGGCTGAAGCTGATTTGTTGTGAGAGAAAAATACTGTAGATTCTAGCTGATAAGCCGGCTGATAAGTTTAAGCGAACAAGCCCGAAGAAGCAGTACGGTAGCGGACTCATCGGCGAGTAGGGCCCAACGACGACGTGAGGGGGCGGCTGGCGAGTAGGGCTCAGCGACGTCACAGGTAGGAGCATCTCGATGGTGAAGACCCAATTAGCAGGACGAAGATCTTGTGCAGACGAATGGCGCATCAAAGATTGCACGACACATTCGTCGATGCACAAGGGACGGCGATATAGATGCAACGGCGAAGCGGATACACGGGCGGCGGTGCTGCGGCCCAACGAGGCGACACGGCAGCAAGCAAGCAACCCTGTTGCTCGGACAAGATGCGCGTAGTACTCGACGATGGTGTCGATGACGAACCGACGATGGAGATGTCGGTGTAGTCGATATCGATGTCGAAGCTGAACTATGTACACACGACAGGCGTTGGGCGACGCAACCCCGATTAGTGATCGAGCAAACCAAAAGATACAACATGAGAGAATCCGGTGTACCCAGGGGGACAACACAACCATTTAGATAATATTTTATCACAACCATTTAGGAAGTCATTTATGTCAAATTATATAGTACCGTAGTATCAGGATACTCCGAAAATTTATGTAGAATCGTGTGAGACCTTCATATAGAATCAGGATACCATAAAAATTAGAATAGATGGTAGGATCGGTATTGTTTCCAGTCAAGTAGGATCGTAATATCTTAAGATTCTAAGATGTGGATCAGTGGTTAGCTCAGTGGCCATGGTATTCTTGAATTTCGGGTAAATATATTGAGTAGTTTACTTTCTTAGAATTGACTTGATTGCTCTTGTCGCCATAGACCACAAACCTACAGCTAGAAGTAGCTTTATTTGGGTTATTTTATTTGTGTTACTAATCAGATTTGTCTAGTGTTTTTTTATTTTTAGTGGCCACTGACTATTCACCCCATATATCGGTTCCTATATCCTACTGAGCATATCGGCCGGTATTTATCTCCTTCCCTTAACCTTGGTATACGCACAAGGTGGGGTGGGGATCCTCCTAGTCGGTATTTATCTCCTCCCTTAGCCCACGTAGGGGCGCACAAGTAACACATCCATAAACGCAAGATGCAAGGTATTACCTCTCCACAAGGAACAAACAAATATATAAACTCTATGTTTCGTGTTTTTCCATCTAGATCCTCGATTCGAGCTCTGACACAAACAATTTAGTTGTGTTCAGTGCCTTTATCTATCGCAAAATCTTACATGTGCCCATTCATGCTGTGGCTTGGCTGTCGAGATCATGCATATCATGATTCTACGCGCTCGAGCATGTACTTTTCATCTTTTTTAATCTCACAACAGATGTAGACAATAACCGATGAGTTAATATTTAACTAATTTTCTATACGACATTAATCCTTTATTGTACCTACACTTATTATTGGCTATGGACTTTATTTGATTTTATTGAAATAATGTTGAACCAAACCCAATAAAAACTCAATAAATATATAGCTAACTCATTATAATTTTTATGAGTTGGTATAGATGAGCGCACAAGAAGCTATTGCCCCGTTGCAATGCATGACCATGTTTTCTAAGTCAATAATCATATAATGATTTATATTTCAAAACTATAATAAATAAGCCCAGGAAAAAACTAGTCAAAATAAATATACCAACTAAAATGTTTTATGTCCTAATAAAACATAAATTCATTTTTGCAATATATATGAAGAATAGGAGAGCTATCATCTTTGTCTATCTTCTCTAATACTAAAGAGCAAAGCATTCTTTTTAATCACTTTTTTATTTCTCAAACTGTTATTTTTTCATCATACTTTTTCCCTTACCCGACTACTCTCACACCTTTTTATGACTTATGTTCATATACGAGTTAGAACAACTCGTGTCCAACGATGATATGGAGTTAGATTCTAACAAGTATTAGATCCGGTACAACGTAGCTATAATAAGAGCATCTCCAAGAGTTCTCTATTTTTTCCTCCTAAAACTTGTAGTTTTATAACTCCTAAAAAGATATTGGGAGGGAAAAAAGAAAGCCATCTCCAAGAGTTTCTAATAAATTGCTTTTAAAAAATCAAATTTGGGTCTCACATCTATTTTTTTGCGGCTTTTTTCTGTCACTAGACGTCACAGGGCGCGTCGAACCCCTCACGTCGCGACCTCCCTGCCGCCGCCGCCGTCAGTAGCAGCAGACAAGCGCAGCAGCCGACCAGTAGCAGCAGACAAGCACAACAGCCACCAACAGACAATCGTGCCGGTCTGTACATCTGATGGACAAGCACATCCTCGTCCTCCTCCTGCACTTCGTCTTTCCCGAACCGCACCGGGCATAGCCGCATAGGGTAGTGAGACGCGGAAGAGGTTAACTGAACGGGAGACGAGTGACAGAGAGGGAAGAAACTCACATGATGCGGTCGCTGGTCCAGAGGATGGAGTAGTGGTGGAAGTCATCGGTGGGATCGAAGGGGAGGTCGTAGCGCTCCTCCCGGCCGGCGTGGGTGCTGTCGTTGCCGTACACGTTGGTCTACACCCGCCACTCGCGCCCACGCACGTTGCCCAGGAACTCGAAGTCCAGCTCGTCGTGCGTCTTCTCGTACACGTCGCCGTTCGACAGCAGCATTGCATCGCATCGTCTTTCAGCATAACATCATTGGACGGGTGGGAGGTCCTGAGGGATAGGTTTGGTTGGTTCACGACGACTCACGTAGAACGCGACGATGACGCCCGCAGCGTAGTCGGCAGGTAGCTTGATGGCGGCGCTGAAGAAGCCGTGGAGGAAGACGTCCTGCGACGTGAACCCAGCGCCTGAGTAGAGAAGGATCCGCGCGACTCAAGAGCCGCGTAAAGTTACGCGGTGCTGACTCAGTTTTTCAAAGTGCCTAAATATTAGGAGGATGGATTAGGAACCGTTGGAGAAATATTTTTTCTGATTTTCTAAAAATCAAGTATTATGAAGGTGAATAGGGAGCTCTTGGTGACGCTCAAAAAGAAAATTCATGGAAAAAGAAAGAAAAAGGAAGGGCAGAAGAAAAAAAGTGAAAACCCCGCACAACTCCGGTGGCCCGATCCCGGTGTTCGACTCAACTCAAGCCTTCGCTCTGACATCTCGACTCCCCTAAACCCATCCTGTGCCCGCCGTCGCCGCAGCCTTCGTCCTCCTCCCCATCCCCGCATCCGAATCACGCACGCCACCCCAGCCATGGCCACCTCCAGCGACGGCGGCGGCGACCAGCGGCGCCTCCTCTCCATCCCCAAGGAAGGCGAGCGCATCATCGCGCCCACGCGCCGCCCCGACGGCACGCTCCGCAAGGCCATCCGCATCCGCGCCGGCTACGTGCCCCAGGAGGAGGTCGCCATCTACCAGTCCAAGGGCGCCCTAGTGAGTCATCGTCTCCTTCTCCGAGCTTCCTCCCTCACATCACCTAGTGCCGCGTTTCTATTCGATTTTATTTTCTTATCGGGTAGCTCGGCGCAGATGAGGAAGTCAGGGCCCGACGTGCCGCCGGGGTACGACCCGGCGCTAGTGGCCGATGCCAAACCCAAGACGAAGGCGGCCAAGCGGAACGAGCGACGGAAGGAGAAACGGCAGCAGGTACGGCTTCCTGTCCGGTGCTTGTGCTCGTATCGCCATGGATGCGAGGGAAACCGTCAGATTTGGTTGAATCGGATTGCTCATCGTAGGTAGAGTTCTTGCCTTTACTTGTGTTCATTGGAGAACCAATAATGGGGTTGGGCTGGTAATGGAGGGAGGAATTGACCTTTTTCCTCATCATGCATTAGTTAGCCGTACTCAATAGTTTGTTGAGGCAAAAGTCGACCCTTAAACATTGCTTCCACCGGTACCATGATTACCACGATGCAGTTTCTCAGATGATTTTTTCTACTGCAGTAGTTTTATTGCTTGGGTGTAGCAATAATTAGCATTTCCAGCAATACATGATTAAGGTCAGTATTGCTACACCGAACTCTTCAATATAGTTTTATATATCATGTCTCAAGTTAATGACGCAATATGTGACTCCCAACAGTATGCTTGGTTTTGCATGTCTTACGCTTGCTATTTGCTGCCAACCATTCAAGTGTGGTTGTGATGAACAATTTTCTATGGCATCCTTGTGGAATTATTTTGTTTGAAATTGCTACAGCTCATAAGGCTATGCAAACTAGCAGAATGCAGTGGCTATCTCACGTTCCTTTATACAAATTTCACTGTGTATTTCATTTGTCAGACCTAGACTTTGTCAATCTTGTAATCTCAACCAATTAGGTAACACCAATTCTGATTGGCAAACTGATTAGTGATTATGTGGAAACAGCTTGCATTTGTTAGAACCAAATCACAGGTTTGGGGCTGGAATTTCTATTTCGTTAGCCTTACCACAACTATGGCAGGTTGGGGATACATATAGGGTAACTTGTTTGCAACTTAAGAAAGCTACAGCATATTCTAGAGATGCTAGGGATAAAGATAAGGGCTGACACAGCCACCAACTACTCTAAGATAAGTATCATAGGTAGATAAGGACAAGACTTATAGCTGTCATTCTCCTCCTAAGTCTTGTGTGGCGCCTTCTGGGGAATTTGAACCATCCCAATCCTGGCGCGAAGCTCCTGGAACTTGACCTGCCCAAGGCACTTGGTGAGAAGGTCGGCGAGCTGATCTTGGGTGTTGATGTAGCCGGCCTTGATGCTCCCTTCATCCAAGCAGCTCCTAATGAAGTGGTACTTGATTCGGATATGCTTGCTGCGCTCATGGAAGACAGGGTTCTTCGCCAAGGCCAAGGCGAACTTGCTGTCCACCCTGAGCTCCACTGCTTCTGCGTCTCTGCCCAGGAGATCGCCCAGCAGCCGAGCCAACCAGAGAGCTTGAGTCGAAGCGGTTGTGGCAGCGCTGTACTCCGCCTCGCAACTGGATAGAGCCACCACTTGCTGCTTGACCGACTGCCAGCTGATCAGACACTTGCCGAGGAAGAATAGCGTCCTGCTGGTGCTCTTGCTTGTGTCAATGTCGCTGGCGAGGTCGCTGTCTCTGTACCCGATGAAGTGCTCCGCACCCGGACACCTCGGGTAGTTCAAGCCGTAGTCGGCGGTGCCCTCGACGTAGCGGAGGATCCTCTTGATAGCCTGCTGATGCTTCGTCGTCGGTCGCTGCATGAACCGACCGACGTAGCCAACAGCGAACGCCAGGTCCGGCTGCGTGTGGATGAGGTAGCGAAGGCTGCCCACAATGCGTCGGTACTGCGTGGCGTCGACCTCCTTGGCCATGCTGTCGCGGCTCAGCTTCATCCTCTCCTCCATGGGAGTGTAGGCTGGGTTGCAGCCGCTGAGCCCGCCCAACTCGACGATGCGCTTCGCGTAGGCGGTCTGGTGAAGGGAGATGCCGGAGCTGTCCTGGTGGACCTCGATCCCCAGGTAGAAGGAGAGAAGGCCCAAGTCGCTCATCTGGAAGGTGGCCTTCATCTCTTCCTTGAACGCCTCCACCTCGGCCTCTTTGGTGCCGGTGATCACCAAGTCGTCGACGTAGACGCCTACCAACAGGGCATTGCCTCCCTTGCCCCGCCGGTAGACTGCAGCCTCGTGAGGACTCTGTTGGAACCCCATTTGCTTGAGGGTGGAGTCCAGCTTGGCGTTCCAAGCTCGGGGCGCCTGCCGCAAGCTTTAGAGGGCCTTGCGCTGGCGAAGAACCTTGTTCTCCTTGCCGGGGATGACGAATCCCGACGACTGGTGGACGTAGATCTCCTCCTTCAGGTCACCGTTGAGGAAGGTGGACTTGATGTCCATGTGGTGCACATGCCAACCCAACTGGGCTGCCAGAGCGAGGAGACGAACGGACTCCATCCGCGCAACGGGCGCGAAGGCGTCATCGAAGTCGACTCCCTCCTACTGGACGAACCCGCGCGCCACCAAGCGCGTCTTGTGCTTGATCACCGCACCGGCCTCATCCTTCTTGAGCTTGTAGACCCACTTAAGGGTGATGGCACGGTGGCCGGCAGGAAGATCCGCCAGCTCCCACGTCCGGTTCCGCTCGACCGCATCCATCTCCTGCTGCACCGCGTCCTGGTGGAGGCGCGCACGGCGGTGGCGCTCCTGGAGGAGGCGCGCACGGCAACGGTGGCGGACGGGTCGATGGAGAGCGCGGCCTTCACAGGCGGCGTGGCTTCTCTCCCCGGATCGGCATGCACCGTGGTTACCACGGGCTCCAGTCGTTGTCGGGGGACGCCGGTCCCGCGGTGGTGGTGGCCTACCTCACCAAGACCAACTACGCCGAGTGGGGCTGCGGTGATGAGGTAAAGCTCCAGCGCGGCACATGTGGGAGGCGTCCGACACGGCGACGTCGACTACGACCTAGATCGATGGGCGCCGGATGCCCTCATCATTGCCGAGCCCCGCCGAGATGCGCTTCGCTTACCAACAAGCGGATCGCCAAGGAGGCTTGGGACACCATCGCCACAAGCACGCGACGGCAGCGATCACCGCCGCGCAAGTCCACACTGCGCAGCACCGCAAGAGAGGGGAGAACCCGCCTTCAAGCCGTGTGGGGACGTTGATGACTTTGCTCTCCGTATCAACACTCGCTTGCGAAGATGGTGCGCTTTACGGCGATGACACCTACGGGCGAGGAGAGAGCTATCGAAAAGCTCTTTTCGGCTGCGTCCCCGAGAAGTACAAGCGGATGGCTCGCTCGATTGAGTCCTCGCCGGATCTCTCCACGATGTCGATCGAGAGGAGGCGATAGGTCGCCCTCAAGGTCGCCGGCGATGATGAGCCACGCCTCTCTCGGGGCCCATCACCACTGGCGGGAAGCTCCTTCTCACTCGGGAGGAGTGGCTTGCCAGCCAAGGTGACCGAAAGAAGGGGGAGCCTTCTTCCGCGATAGGTGGTGGCAAGCCACGCAAGGCGCGCAGAGACGCCCAGGCCGGGGCGCGAGGACGTGCCGAGGGTGATGCCCATGAGGCGCCAGTGGGCGCGCAGCCACGGCAGCCTGGCCGGCAAGACGAGACGACGCCGCCGCAATCGCGCCCAGCTTAGCCATTGGGCCAAGGATCGCCGAACGCACCATGACGCAGCCGAGCCCACGCCGCAGACAAAGTGAGGAGGAGCCGGCTCTGTTCATGGCACATGCAAGCATCGAGCTACCTCCAGCGGCACCGGCCGCAGTGGCCCTCCACCTTGACGAGCAAAAAGCACACGCCCTCCTCGTCGACGGCCTCCGGCTCGGCGAACGACAAGATCGACGGTGGTGCTGCCTCGACACCGGTGCCACCCACCACATGACCGGTCGACGGGAGTTCATCACCGAGCTTGACTCTAGCGCCCCGAGGCTCCGTCAAGTTTGGGGATGCCTCCGGCGTGAGATCAAGGCGTCGGCTCGGCTCATCTTCACCGCCGTGTCTGGTGAGCACAGTGCCGCTCACCGAGTCTACTACATCCCCGCGCGTTGAGAACTCCATCATCGCCTTGGGACAACTAGATGAGAACGGTTCGCGTGTGGTGGTTGAGGACGGAGTCATGAGGATTTGGGATCGCTGTCGCCGCCTTCTTGCCAAGGTATCCGAAGTGCAAATCGACTCTCGTCCTCAACGTGCGGTGGGCACAACCCTCTGTCTCGCCGCCGTCGGGACGACGAGGCGTGCGCAAAGGGCACGAGCGCCGGGCACCTTTCACTTCGAGGCCTCAAGCGGCTCGGTTACACGAAGATGGTGCGAGGCCTCGCGTGCCTCGACCATGTGGAGCGCTCTCTGCGACGTCTGCGTGTTGACGGCGCGGGGCGACTCCTCTTTCCCCAGCGGGCGAGCTTTCGAGCCAAGGAGAGGCTTGAGCTTGTGCACGGGGACTTGTGTGGCCCGGTGACACCGGCCACACCGGGAGGACGACGCTACTTCCTGCTGCTCATCGACGACCTCTCCCGCTACATGTGGGTGATGGTCCTCGGCAGCAAGGGAGAGGTCATGGGCGCCATCGGTAGCGCAGCAGTCGCTGGGGGCGGCGGCGCGTGGTCAAGCAGTCGCAGCGTCTTGCCGCCCGACCGACAACGGCGGCGAATTCACGGCGGATGAATTCGCGTTGTACTACGCTGATGAGGGCATTCAGCGCCACTACTCCGCGCCGTACAGCCCGCAACAGAACGGCGTCGTCGAGCGGCGCAACCAGACGGTTGTGGGGATGGCTCGGGCCCTTCTCAAGTAGAGGTGGATGCCGACTGTCTTCTGGGGAGAGGCGGTGGTGTCGGCCGTCTACATCCTCAACCCCTCGCCTACCAAGGCGCTCGACGGCAGGACGCCGTACGAGGCTTGGCATGGGCGCAAGCCGGCGGTCTCCCACTTGCGGGTCTTCGGCTGCCTCGCGTTCGCCAAGGAGCTTGGCCACATCAGCAAGCTCGACGACAGGAGCACTCCGGGAGTGTTCATCGGCTACGCGGAGGGCTCGAAGGCCTACCGCATCCTCGACCCGAAGACAACGTGTGCGCACGCACGCGACGTTGTGTTCGACGAAGGGCGAGGATGGGCGTGGGACAAGGCGGTGGACGACGGCTCGGCTTCGACGTACGACGACTTCACTGCCGAAGTACGTCCCACTTCAAGGAGCCGGGGAGTAGGCGGCTCTTCTTTGGCGGCGCGTCTACCCCTGGGCCCCGAGCCTCCACCGACCCCGACGCTGCTACTCCGACAAAGACCACGCTCTCCGGCCCAGACCTCGGTTGCGATGAGTTCTTCGCGGCTCCACCACCACACGCCGCAACGCCACGCACTCCAAAGACCGACAGGCACCACTCCGCACGCGTCTACTCCACCACCGGCTGTGTGTCGAGCACGGCCCGTTGAGCTTCGCTACTCCGCCTCTCTCTCGACGAGGCGCGCGATCGATACCACTCACGACGGCGAGCCGTTGCGGTACCGTCACGATGGAGAACCTTCTCGGCGACCACCGGGTGCGTGACCGGTGCCTCACAACCCGGAGGCGCGCTTGCACCTTGCGTGTGACGACGGCGAGCCTCGGTCGCTTGCGAGGTCGAGAGACACGCGGCATGGCGCCGCGCCGCGATGCGATTGGAGATGGATGCGGTTGAGAAGAACCGCACTGGGAGCTTGTTGACCTTCCTCGTGGTCACCGCGCGATCACCCTTAAGTGAGTGTACAAAATCAAGAGGGATGAAGCCGGCGCCATCGTCAAGCACAAGGCTTGCTTGGTGGCACGAGGTTTCGTGCAGCAGGAGAGGGGGTCGACTTTGACGACGCCTTTGCTCCCGTGTAACACGGATGGAGTCCGTCGACTCCTCCTTGCGCTTAGCCGCCCGGGAGGGCCGGCGTGTTCATCACATGGACGCCAAGTCGCCGTTCCTTAATGGCGACTTGAAGGAGGAGGTCTCGTGCACCACCGGCCGTCGATTTTGCGATCCCCGGCAAGGAGGGCAGGTTCTCACTCCGCGCTGCGCAAGGCCCTCTATGGCTTGCGGCGAGACCGAGGGCGTGGAATGCCAAGTCGGATTCCACGCTAAAGGGATGGGCTTGAGCAAAGCCCGCGACGAGGCGACCATCTACCGACGGGGCGGTGGAGGAAATGCCCTGGCGGTGGGTGTCTCGTCGACGACTTGATGATCACCGCACCAAGGATGCGGAGGTGGCGGCATTCAAGGAAGAGATGAAGGCCACCTTCCGGATGAGTGACCAGGGCCTCTCTTTCTACCGGGAATCGAGGTGCACCAGGGATGACTCGGGATCACGCTTGACGCATCGCCCTCGCCAAAGCGCGTCGTTGAGCTAGCCGGGCTCACCGATCGCAACCCACTCTCACTCCGATGGAGGAGAGATCGAAGGCGAGCTGCGACGACCTGACGACGGAGGAGGTGGACGCTTCGCAGCATCGACGCGTTTTGTGGGGAGCCTTCGCTACCTCGCCCACACACGGCCGGACTTGGCATTCTCCGTCGGCTCGCTTAGTCGGTTCATGCGGCTGACCGAACAACGGAGCACCAAAGAAGTCGTGAAGAGGATCATCCGCTACGTTGTTTGGGACTCTCGACCACGGCCTCTACTACCCTAGGTGCCCTAGGGCGGCACACTCGTCGGGATGCAATGGACAATGACCATGCCGCCGCGACATCGACACCAAAGAAGAGCACGAGCGGGATCCTCTTCTTCCTCGGCGAGTGCCTCGTTAGTGGCGGCAACGGTCAAGCGGCAGTGGTGGCCTGTCATCACCACGCGAGGCCGAGTACATAGCGCTGCCTCCACCGCTTCGACTCAGCGCTCTGGCTCGCTCGACCGCTTGGTGATCTCCTCGGTAGAGACACTAGAGCGGTGGAGCTCGTGGTGTGACAACAAGTCCGCCTGCTCGCCCCAACAAAGAACCCCGCTTTCCATGAACGCAGCAAGCACAACCGGGTGAGGTACCACTTCATCCGAGGCTGTTTGGAGGAAGGGAGCATCAAGGTGAGCTACATCAACACCAAGGACCAGCTTGCGGACCTGCTCACCAAGCCCCTTGGGAGGATCAAGTTCCTTGAGCTCTGCTCCAGGACCGGGATGGTTCAACTTTCCCACAAGATGACGCACAAGACTTAGGGGGAGAATGATGGATAAGTCTCTGTGGTTTTTTTTGTGGGGCTGCAGCTGTGCTCCTTGTGGCTGCATGGTGAAGGACAGCATCCTTGACTGGTCCTTGTGGTCTTGCTGCCCAAGGACAGCACATCACCCTTGACTAGCATCTTAGCATCTAGGACAGCATCTTAGACTAGCATCTTGGCATATGCTTGGCTGGCTAGCAGCCTATAAATATGTATCCCCAACCCCTCGGGTTGGCATGGCATTGAGAAATAAACCAAAAAATTGTCCCAACTTCTAGTGTCATCATCTCTCGATGAGAGTAAGAATTCTACTACTACCTAGAGTGAGAATTCAGCGACTAACACCCCCCCCCCTTCTCAACCCTAGCCGCCGCCATAACATGTACTCTCTCAATTCCAAATTATAAGATGTTTTGACTTTTCTAGATCCATGATTTATATTATGTACCTAGACATGGTGTATATCTAAGTGCATAGCCAAAGCTATGTATCTAAAAACGGCAAAATGTCTTATAATTTGGAATGAAGGGAGTACTTTGTAAAGGACGTGGAGTTTATTTATGACTTTACAAAATGTTGTGGTTGGTCTGATTGAGGATCAGCATGTTTCTCCATGAATAAATAATTCAATTCTGTTGCTTTCTCAAAGTTGGGAAATATTATACTCCCTCCGTTCCAAATTATAGATGGTTTTGGCTTTTCTAGATACATAGATTTTATTATGTGTGTTGTGTCTAGACAGCATATATCTAGGCGCATAGCAAAAGTTCTGTATCTAGAAAAGCCAAAATGGCCTATAACTTAGGACGGATGGAGTATGGTATAAATGCATCTTAAAAAATACATCATCAATATTAATTTTGATTATATATAAACACCATCTCTTTGTAATAAGAGTTTTTTTCCTCCTTCCTCTGTTATAGTCCTGACACATGCATCATTAGCTAATCACCCAAGATATTTAATATTTTACTCATGAAACTTCATCTTGGTCTGACTATAATTTCAACATAGGACTTCGTCAAGGCAACTCAGTGCACAGTATGTGCCATGATGTGTTATGATGTTATCTTCTGAACTCAGAATAGATATAAGGCATGCTACTTTCTAAACTAACTGTTTGGACTAATAATGGGTTATGTTGTCAGATTAAAAGTGGGCCAATCGATGTTATGAACTCATTTAACAGCACATGACCAAACTTAATTGTTGCTGATTGAGGATATCAAAATGGCAACCAAGCTCCCCTGACGTAAATTAGTTGTTTGTGTGGAATTCTTAAACGTTTCAGTTTGAATTGGTTGCATGATTAGTTGATTATTTAATGAGGTAATACAATTTGTTCTGTGAAGATATATAACAATGAAATTTTCTAAAAACTAAAGGTTTTGTGTTTAACTTCACATAAATTTTTTTGTTCACCTATTGGGTTAGCACATCACTTATTTTGATTGTTTTGTACTCCTGTAATGAAAGGATCTATTTTAGATAGAACAATTTTGTTTGTTATAATGGCTAAATGATGTTTAAGGAAAATGTTTATTAGCAGGCCAGTTCGGCAAATGATAAAGGAAAGAGTACGGACATAGAGGGAACTGATGCTGGAGAAACTGACAAGGCTCTTTCTTCCAAAACGGATAAGCAGAAGGATTCAGTGGAAAGTGTAACAAAGCAGATAAGTGGCATTGCTATTTCTGAGTCACATGCAACGCCGTCCACAAATACTACAAACAATTCACAACCGGAATCATCTTTTCCAGACATAGACAAGAAAATTCGTGCACTGAAGAAGAAGGTTTACTCTTGCTCTCTCTTGTGTCTGCACATTTTCTATTGAAAAAAAAAGATGAATGCGAGTTCAATTCCAAACTAGTATGTTTAAATCATTTTCCTCACTGTCGGGTCTAGTCATGGTAGTTTTTCCCCAATATTAAGTTGGATTTGATCTTGCTTATAGCAAACTTCAATTGCGTGCTTTCATTTTCAGTATCTTTAAATCAAATATGATAGTGAAAAGTTGTGTCTTCCTGCAAACCTAGTTTTGTAAGAATTGGGACCTGGCCTCATTTTTAATTAAAATCAATTTTCTTCTACCTTCTGATTTATTCATGCTGAGTGCTGAGAATCCAACTTAATAGTGTCTATTAACTCTAATTTCCTTTCTAGTTTTAGTGCATTTAAGGTATTCCACATGCCCTTTAAACATGTACAACCAGCCTTCTGGCTTTAGTCTAGATTTCACTATATGTTTGGCACTTTTTTCTATTAGTGATAATTCATTTGTTTAAGAGCCTTTGTGCCTTGTAGTAAACCCATTTTGATTTGAGGATATTCATTAGTAGATTATTTGATTTATAAAAAGTTAAATACTTGAGTCTAAGGTGTATTTTAGGAACCAAAGCAGGAATGCAGGATGATTTGACATGGATGAATCTATCTTGATTTTAACAGATACGTTTAGCTGAAGCACAACTACAAGGTGACCCTGAAAAATTGAAATCTGAGACGCTGGAAAAGATGAAAAAGATTGATGGATGGTGTATGGAGCTGAAGCTTTTGGAGGACAAGAGAGCTCCTGCGGCCTAGACAAAATCGATTTCGGCTCTGATGTAGAGTAGAGCCATCGCGACCACACCAGGGTGCTGATCCAAATTCCAAGGTGCACTGAATCACCATAGGCTTCTCCATTACCTGTGTTGGTTACTGGAAAAGCAGTCCGGTAGATGTGGGTTTGCGCAGAACGATGGAGGGTTTTTCACCGCACATTTGTTGTCTCATGTTCACCAAGTTTCAAGATTTGTACCGCAAGATCCATTTGTCAGAAAGACCACACAGTGAGATAATTCAACCGATTATTGTGACAGTGTGGTTTAACTAAAGTATACTATGCTAATTCTGGGAATCTCTTGACACTGGATCAGAATTTACTTTCGCCCTCACGGCTAGAATTCATCTCTGCTTTACCACCATTATTCAATTATTCAGTTAACTTTACAGGCTGTTATATCTAGGTTGAAACTGATTGAAGAGTGCCGGAATGCTTCTGTCCCTGGCTCCGCGGCTCTCACATGTGTTTCATTTGTTTCTTTGTTTCGTTGCCAAGAGGCAGAGCTTCAAGAATCTTAAGAAGCATACATCGGTGAATGCAGTTTTCCTTTGTTGAATAGTAAACGCTCTACGGGCTACACACGCAAGTCATGTAACAACGCGTGAGAAAGGAATCCTCCTCCGGCTGGCCGAAAGCGATATGGCCTCGCATGCCAAATGGAGAACGGCAGCCAATCGAAGAGTTTTCTGGGAAGTAACGTTGGTTGAAAAAAAGGAAAAGATAACATAGCCGTATGCTTCCTGTCTTAGCACAAAAGCTGACAGCAATTCCAATCTAACTGTTGTTGACAGTTCCAAAGCTTTGAACCCTTTTTTTTTCTTTCTTTTTTCTCATGACAACATATCATTGGCATCAAGACAATCTATTTACACAGCCCGTTCTAACTCTACAACTCATGCGCTCAAAAACACATTCACTATTCTCTATCCAGGCAGAAGAATATTAGCCGGCGGCTCAACGAGGACATCTTCCTCGCGAACGTATGCCAAAGAATCAACTAATGAAACACTAAGAGGCTGACGACGATGCTGTTGAGCGTTGACAATACTAGCTCCAGGCAAAATAACCCGCCCTTTCGGCAAACACTAAGAGGCTGACGACGATGCTGTTGAGCGTTGACAATACTAGCTCCAGGCAAAATAACCCGCCCTTTCGGCCAGCTCCGCATGATTTGCGCGGACCAATATCTGTAGGTTGAACAAGCAAAGAAAGTCAAATTGTCAGATTAACCACGCACATATAAAAGCAACAAGTGGTGCCCTAGTGAGCCACAGCTGAGAAGCCGACGACTGGAAGACCAGCCACAAGCTTTGTACCATTCAACATTACACGTACGTAAAATCTTAGCATGAGTTTGACACAAAAAGGTACAAGGTTACTTACCATTCTGCCACTGTCCAATAGATGATCAACGACCCATTAATTGATGACACGTGTAGATGAATTCGAGCGTGAAGATGTCGTCCTCATAGACCGTACTGATCTTATTGACTTGTTTACGAATGGATGCTCCAACAGTTTGGATGCTGATGGTCTGTCTTCTGGATTGGATTTTACACACTGGCTTATAAAATCACGAGCATCCTTTGAAAGAGCATTTGGAATTGCTGGTGATTCCCCCTTACCAATCCTGTATAGAGCTTGTGTCTGCATAACAAGTAGCAAGAAGAATGGGATTAAGCATATACCAATAGTTCAGGAAATCGTGTACATATAGGCACACTCATATAATTCGAAACCAGCAACTTGAATTTGCAGAAGTCAGTACTAAATGTTCTCACCCATTCGAGGTCAGGATAGGGTATTTGGCGTGTCAACATCTCTAGGACGGTGCAACCAAGACTCCATATGTCAGCTGCAGGTCCATACGTCTTCTTTGGATTGACAACCTGAAAATTTAAATTTTAGTGCTTCCACTAGAATGATCTTAAAGTGTAGATCCAAATTGTATATGCTGTCATCCAGCAACCATGATTGTTCGCCAGCACATTAAGTTCACACGAAACGATGCCTATGTCAAATCAATGAAACGTCACTTAATCACATTAAAATATCAACTCAGCTACTACTCTATTAAGAACCAACTTTGATTAGACTGCACCAGATGTTTGATAGATCTGTAATAACATCACTGAGGCAGGGGCATAGGGGATAGGGCACTACTTTCAAGTAATATTCAATAATTTAGGTCTATTATTACTTCAAGACGATTATTCTAGACAAATCACTGAAGGTAAACATACGGCGAACAAAATGATGTTCTAATCTTAAGTCAGAGTTTATGGTGGTTACCTCAGGTGCCATCCAATAAACAGTTCCTTTGCATGATTTAACTGCATTGAATTTGGTAATCTGAAAGGGAAATGATAAAATAATTTTGTATCAGATAAAGTGTTAGCGGATAAATTGAACCAAAAAAAGGACAAAGTTTGCAGCATGCAATCGACCTCCTTAGCGAGTCCAAAATCTGCAAGTTTCACAGATCCATTGGCATGCACCAGAATATTTGCGCATTTAATGTCTCTGCAATATCACAATTCAAACCATAGTTCAGAACATACGTATATACAATAGCACGTTGATATAATTCTGCAGTTCTTTTCAGATCAATGTGGAAAATACAGGTATTGGGCATTGCTTACAGGGCTTCATTTAAACTAATGGGCACATAATTGCCCATATTTGTTATTTCCAGTAATCTGATTTGCTACACTGAATGGCACCATTATAGGTATAAGAACTTAAACTAATTTCATTACCTATGAACAATGTTCCTTTCATGGAGGTAAGTCAACCCATTAAGGATCTGTCTTGTATATGCAGAGACATGAGTATCACGCAGGCGATATGTCTGATACAATGATGCAAGGGATCCTTGGGTCACTAATTCAAGGAAGATGTAAAGCTTTGAATCTTCCTGCAATAGTAACACAGTTGGAGGGTCATCAATCTAATAGCCTAAGCATGCATACAAGGGGCATGAAGAAAACAATGAAACAATGAATTTCTGTGCATACGACATATATGATACCACAACAGCATGATATGTTAGTCGCTGAATTCTCACTCTTGGTAGTAGGAGAATTCTTACTCTCATCGAGAAAGTATGACACTAAGAGTTGGGACAATTTTCTTGTCTATTTCTCACACAAACTCACACAAATGCCATACCAACCTGAGGGGTTGGGGTTACATATTTATAGGCTGCTAGCCAGCCAAGCATATGCCAAGATGCTAGTCTAAGATGCTAGTCTAAGATGCTAATATGCTGTCCTAGCTAAGATGCTGTCATCTAGTCTAAGATGTTGTCCTCTAAGATGCTGTCCTAAAAACAGAAAAACAGCCACAAGGACCATGTGAGCAGCACAGCCCCACAAAGACCAGCCACACATGAGACTTATCCATCATTCTCCCCCTAAGTCTTGTGCGTCGTCTTGTGGGAGAGTTGAACCATCCCGGTCCTAGAGCAGAGCTCAAGGAACTTGATCCTCCCAAGGGGCTTGGTGAGCAGGTCCGCAAGCTGGTCCTTGGTGTTGATGTAGCTCGCCTAGATGCTCCCTTCCTCCAAACAGCCTCGGATGAAGTGGTACCTCACCCGGATGTGCTTGCTTGCTGCGTTCATGGAACACGGGTTCTTTGCGGTATGCCAGCGGACTTGTTGTCCACCCCCAGGCTCCACCACTCTAGTGTCTCTCTACCGAGGAGATCACCAAGCGCCGAGCGAGCCAGAGCGCTGAGTCGAAGCGGTGGAGGCCGCTATGTACTCGGCCTCGCACCGGACAGGGCCACCACTGGCCGCTTGACCGATCGCCACCTAACGAGGCACTCGCCGAGGAAGAAGAGGATCCCGCCAGTGCTCTTGCCGGTGTCGATGTCGCCGGCATGGTCATTCCGTCATTGCATTCGAAGCGAAGTGTGCCGCCCTAGGGCACCTAGGGTAGTAGAGGCCGTGGTCGAGAGTCCCAAAGAACGTGGCGGATGATCCTCTTCACACCTGGCCGGTGCTCCGTTGTCGGTCATTGCATGAACCGACTAGCGTGGCCGACGGAGAATGCCAAGTCCGGCCGTGTGTGGGGGGCGAGGTAGCGAAGGCTCCCCACAAAACGCCGGTGATGCTGCGAAGGCGTCCACCTCCTCCGTCGTCTTTGTCGCAGCTCGACTTTCGATCTCTCCTCCATCGGAGTGAGAGTTGGGTTGCGATCGGTGAGCCCAAATAGCTCAACAACGCGCTTAGCGTGAGGGCGGTCTGTCAAGCGTGATCCCGAGTCATCCCGGTGCACCTCGATTCCTGTGTAGAAAGAGAGAGGCCCTGTGTCACTCATCCGGAAGGTGGCCTTCATCTCTTCCTTGAATGCCGCCACCTCCGCATCCTTGGTGCCGGTGATCATCAAGTCGTCGACGAGACACCCACCGCCAGGCATTTCTCCACCGCCTGCCGGTAGATGGTCACCTCGTCGCGGGCTTTGCTCAAGCCCATCCCTTTAGCGTGGAATCCACCATTTCCACGCCCTCGCGTCTCCGCAAGCCATAGAGGGCCTTGCGCAGCGGAGCACCTGCCCTCCTTGCCGGGATCGCAAATCTCGACGGTGGTGCACGAGACCTCCTCCTTCAAGTCGCCATTAAGGAACGCCGACTTGACGTCCATGTGATGAACACGCCACCCTCTCCAGGCGCCTAAGCGCAGGAGGAGTCGCGACGGACTCCATCCGTGCCCGCGGAGCAAAGGCGTCGTCAAAGTCGACCCTCTCCTCCGCGCAGACGAAACCTCGTGCCACCAAGCAAGCCTTGTGCTTGACGATGGCGCCGGCTTCATCCCTCTTCAGCTTGTACACTCACTTAAGGGTGATCGCGCGGTGACCACGAGGAAGGTCAAGAAGCTCCCAAAAGCGGTTCTTCTCAACCGCATCCATCTCCAATCGCATCGCGGCGCGCCATGCCGCGTGTCTCTCGGCCTCTGCAAACGATCGAGGCTCGCCGTCGTCACACGCAAGGTGCAACTGCGCCTCCAGGTTGTGAGGCACCGGTCCCGGCACCGGCTGGTCGCCGAGAAGGTTCTCCATCGTATGGTACCGCAACGGCTCGCCGTCGTGGTACGCATCGATGCGCTCCTCGTCGTGAGAGAGCGAATGAGTAGCGAAGCTCAACCGGCCGTGCTCGACACGAGCCGGTGGTGGAGTAGACGCGTGCGGGAGTGGTGCTCGCTCGGTCTTTGAGTGCGTGGCGCTGCGGTGTGGTGGAGCCGGCGAAGAACTCATCGCAACCGAGGTCCCGGCCGGAGAGCGTGGTCTTTGCTTTGAGTAGCAGCGCCGGGGTCGGTGGAGGCTCGGGGACCGGGGGTAGACGCGCTCGCCAAAGAAGAGCCGCCACTCCCCAGCCTCCTTCGGTGGGCGATTTCGACAAAGGAAGTCGCCGACGCCGGCCGAGCCGCCGCCCACCGCTTTGTCCCCACGCCCCCATCCTTCGCCCTTCGTCCGAACACAACGCCGCGCGTGCGTGCGCACACACGTTGTCTTCGGTCGAGGATGCGGTAGGCCTTCGAGCCCTCCGCGTAGCCGGCGAACACTCCCGAGTGCTCCCGCCGCCGAGCTTGCCGATGTGGCCAAGCTCCTTGGCGAACGCGAGGCGCCCAAGACCCGCAAGTGGAGACCGCCGCTGCGCGCCCATGCCAAGCCTCGACGGCGTCCCGCCTGTCGAGCGCCTTTGGTAGGCGAGGGGTTGAGGATGTAGACGGCCGACACCACCGCCTTTCCTCCCCGACAGACGATCGGCATCCACCTCTACTTGAGAAGGGCCCGAGCATCCCATCCCCACAACCGTTCTGGTTGCGCTCGCCGACGACGCTTCGCTCGCTAAAATTTCAGACGGCGCAGCGGAGTAGTGGCGCCGAATGCCCTCATCAACAGTAGATACAACGCGAATTCATCCGCCGTGAATTCGCCGCCGTTGTTTGGTCGCGCAAAGACGACGCAGCAGCCTTGCGGCACACACGCCTCCGCCTCAAGCTGCATACATACCGATGGCGTCCCGCAGCCTCTCCTTGTCGCCGAGGGACCATCACCCACATGTAGCGGAGAGAGGTCGCGATGAGCAAAGCAGAGAAGTAGCGCGTCGTCCTCCCGGTGTGGCCGGTGTCACCGCCACACAAGTCCCCGTGCACAAGCTCAAGCCTCTCCTTGGCTCGAAAGCTCGCCTCATTGGGAAAGAGGAGTCGCCTCTGCTCGCGTCAACACGCAGACGCCGCAGAGTCGCTCCACATGGTCGAGGCACACGGCAGCTCGCACCATCTCCATGGCACCGAGCCGCCAGTGGCCTCGAAGTGAAGGTGCCCGAACTCTCGTGCCATCGCCACCACGCCTCGTCGTCCCGACGAAGCGGCCGAGACAGAGGGTTGTGCCACCGCACGTTGAGGACGTGAGTCGATTTGCGCTTCTAGATACCTTGGCAAGAAGGCGACGACGGCGATCCCAAATCCTCATGACTCCATCCTCAACCACCACACGCGCGAACCGTTCTCATCCAGTCGTCCCAAGTCGATGATGGAGTTCCTCAACGCGGGATGTAGTAGACTCGGTGAGCGACAGTGCTCACCGTGACACTGCGGTGAAGATGATGGAGCCGACGCCTTGATCTCCACGCCGAGGCATCCCCAAACTTGACGGAGCCTCGGACGCTAGAGTCAAGCTCGGTGAAGAACTCCGTCGACCGGTCATGTGATGGGGCGGCGCCGGTGTCGAGGCACCACCCGTCGATCTTGTCGTTGCGGAGCCAGCCGCCGAGGAGGGCGTGTGCTTTTGGCTCGTCAAGGTGGAGGAGAGCCGCGCGGCCGGTCAGCACCGGAGGTAGCTCGATGCTTGCATGTGCCATGAACAGTCGCTCCTCCTCCTCCTCCTCCACTGGCGTGACGTGGCCTGGCCGCGTCGTGGTCGTCGTCGAGATCCCTGGCCCAATGGCTGCCGGCGCGCAGCTTCGGCGGTGTCGTCTCGTCTTGGCTTGTACTGCCGCCGGCTGCGCCGCCTGGCGCCTCCTGCATGGGCATCACCCTCAGACGCCCTCGCGCTTCGGCTCATGCGTCTCTGCTACGCTTTGCCACGCTTACTTGCCACCACTGTCGTCGGAAGAAGGCTCCCTTCTTTCCGGTCACCTTGGTCGGCAAGCCACCGCTCCCCGGTGAGAAGGAGCTTCCCGCCCGGGGTGATGGGCCCCGAGAGAGATCGTGGCTCATCACCGTCGACGACCTTGAGGCGACCTATCGCCTCCTCGATCGACATCGTGGAGAGATCCAGCAGACTCGATCGAGCGAGCCATCTGCTTGTACTTCTGGGGGCGCAGCGAAAGAGCTTTTCGATAGCTCTCTCTCTCGCCGTAGGTGTCGCCGCCAAATCGCACCATCTTCTGCAATAGAGTGTTGAGACGGAGAGCAAAGTCATCAACGCCCTCACCGCTTGAAAGCTGTGTTCTCCACCTCCGCGGCGCTCCGTAGTGTGGACTTCGGCGCGGTCGCCGCCGGCGCGCGTGCCAGCAATGATGGTGTCCCAAGCCTCCTTGGCGAATTCGCTTTGTTGGTAAGCGAGAATCGCATCTCGGGCGGGGCTGCGGCGATGAGGGCATCCAAATACCGTCGATCTAGGTCTTAGTCGACGCCGCCGCACGGACCGCCTCCCCACATGTGCCGCACTGGAGCTTTACCTCATCACCGCAGCCCCACTCGGCGTAGTTGGTCTTGGTGAGGGTAGGCCACCCACCGCCGGACCGACGTCCCCGACAATGTACTGGAGCCCGTGGTAACCACGGTGCATCGATCCGGGAGAGAGCCACGCCGCCGCGGAAGGCCGCGCTCTCCATCGACCCGTCCGCCACCGCTACTGCGCGCCTCTCCAGAGCGCCGCCGCCAGAGACGCGCTCCTCCTCCAGAGCCGCCCACCGCGTCCGCGTCTGTCTGTCGCTGCGCCGCCGCCAGGCGTCTTGCGGCCCCAGTGAGCCCAGCCCGCCGCCATGCTGGCGCCAGCCAAGGTCCGCGCTGTCACGGTTGCCGCCACGCTGTCGTGGCGCTGGCGGCCGCATCATCGCCGCCAAGGCTTTCATGCCGCCTCTCTCTCTAGCAGCCGAGGTCCGCGTCGGCGGTGTCGCCGCCGAAATGGAGTTGCCGATCTTTGCCGCGCCAGCAGAAACCTCGACCTCCGCCATTTGCATTCGCGCGCCATCGCCGCCGCCCGCCTCGCTTCTGCCTGGTTTGCCGCCGCTCGCCGCATTGCCACCTCGGCGCCACTTGCCGCCACCGCCATGCGGTCTCTCTGCCGCCGCTTCGCTCGCCTTCTCTCTGCAAGCAAGTTCGCCTCCTCGCCGACGCCACAGCGTGCTCGAGGCGACTGAAGGCCGAGATCGCCTGCGGACATGACGCGCCACTGGGGGCTGCGTGGGGAGAGGGCTGCCTTGCACGAGCCTTTGTCTGCATGGGGAGTGAGCAGGAGCAGCCGAGCTGCTTGCCGCACTGTTGGGTCATTGTGTGGTCTGGGAGGGAGATGAGCGGGAGATGCTCAAAGCTGGATAATACGACTCGATATCGGGCTGTTAGTCGCTAAATTCTCACTCTTGGTAGTAGGAGAATTCTTACTCTCATCGAGAGAGGATGACACTAGGAGTTGGGGCAATTTTCTTGTCTATTTCTCACACAAACTCACACAAATGCTATACCAACTTGAGGGGTTGGGGTTACATATTTATAGGCTGCTAGCCAGCCAAGCATATGCCAAGATGCTAGTCTAAGATGCTAATATGCTGTCCTAGTTAAGATGCTGTCCTCTAGTCTAAGATGCTGTCCTCTAAGATGCTGTCCTCTAGTCTAAGATGCTGTCATAAAAATAGAAAAACAGCCACAAGGACCATGTGAGCAGCACAGCCCCACAAAGACCAGCCACACATGAGACTTATCCATCATGATAAACTGAAGCTACTTACTTTGTCTGTTCCATAATACTGCACTATATTCTCATGCTCAAACTGGCTCAGAAGTGCAATTTCCTGGAAAGATTAAGAAAGGTAAAAGAGGTCAGATTTTGCAACACTTGTCTTTTGAGGAAATTGGGCATAGTTTGCAAGTGGAGCCATCTTAAGGCTAACAGCGCACAGACCAACGGATCAAATCTCAGGAAATCACAGTGGAAGCCAAAAACACTGGTGCTATCTTATAGGCTCATGCATTACCATGTAATCTGAGACAAATTAACAGACAACCCCTACAACGGGTTGTCTTTTAAGTTATATAGTAATTCCAAAATCCCTTAATTTGTGCATGAAATGGAAGAAAGCAAAAAATGTGAGAAACAACTTATACAATGATGCGCGAGTAGTCTTATAGTATTAAATTTTAGCTTATATATGAGGCGGTTGCTTTACGAAAGAACAACCACTTTCTCTTAAGTCTCAATCTCAACTCCCTCTGTCCTCCACATCATAAAAAAATCCTATAGGGCATTTGCTGCATGATATGGCCTATGAGACGGCTCACATGTACAGATGTACTTGTCCTAAATAACCTTTCAACCTATCATGAACTGTGGCATTCAAGTTGAAGAACACGGGAGATGCAATTCATGATAGGATGGGAAATTGCCAGTAATAGATTAAATCTCTCGTACTATCAAGAAAAAAAATAGTGAAACGAACCTGCTCAAGCTGAAAGATACACTGCTTCGCATTGCTCCCTTGATCAAATAAGTTTACTTCTTTGACAGCAAAGAAGACACCCTCACTGATAATATGACACAGAAGCAGAAAAGCATGTAAGAGACTGGGCTCAGGCTTACAACAGGCAAAAACTAGAGCAGGCTATAAATAGTGAAGGCAACCATCCCTATTGCACATTGGCAGAAAAAAAAAAGGACAAATGCTGAATTGCTTCATCCAGGGCAATAAATTCATGTACGTTGTTCGCAGAGCTGAATATCCAAGTTATCATGACCAAAGAACACATAATCAAGTAAAAAATCCTTAACCTCAGTTCTAAATTGAAATAAAACCAAGGTTCTAAAAAGAACAGAAAAAATCAAGTGATTATCAAATTATTCTCTGCTGGCCCAGAAGTCAAGAGTGCAACATTTTGGCACACTAATATGTCATGGTCCCACGTACGATTGAGGAAATGGTTCATCCAATTGCATGTGACAATGATTTTAGTTGAGATCTTTGCCTATTACTTAGGATCATGTTGGTTTAGTTGTAGAAGACTATATCATGTAACTAATTCAATTGTTACTTACTAGTAGGCTGTGCTTAGTGTCTAACATTTAGAATCAGTTCTGTGAAACCCAGATTAATCGAGGCTTCTAGCTGTACCTTATGCTGCTCTATGGAGTATGGACAGGCGTAGCATGTTAGATTGTTATTCCAAGCAACTAAACAGCACGGAAGAGCAACTGAATTTGATCTTTAGAGCACTTACTCGCTGATGCCCTCATAGACTGTCCCAAACGAGCCACTACCCAGGAGCATCCCTCGGCTCCATGACCGGATCCTCCTCCTAAACCTCCCGTTCGGCGAGATATAGAACATGGATTCTGTGGTGGTGCTTGAGGTCTCGTCATCGTTGGTGGTTGACAGCGAAGAAGTACCAGTGAAACCCTCGGACGACTCCTCCAGCCCAAGATCGTCCAACATTAACAGTACCGCCCCATCCTCGTCGTCATCCTTCTCCACTGCATCCCGGTGTCCAAAACGACGGCCAGATCTGCTCGCGGGGGCGTCCTCTTTCTCAACCGGCGCGAACGACCGCAAGATATCCCACGTGGATCCGACGCCGCAGACAGCTGGCAGCGCCATCGAAGGCGGTGGCTTGAGCACCGGCGGCGGGCGCACGCCCTTGATTCCTCCCTCCCCGCTGCCCTCCTCGCATCCGGAAAGGTGGACTCGGGCGGCGGATCCAGGCGCGCCGGCCGCTCCGGAGCTTCGATTGGGCCGTCCCTCCCCGTTGCGGCCGGTAGCTCCGGGTCGGCGTCCGCAGCCTGGGCGGGCTCCTCGGCACCCACCTGACAGAGCGGTGAGTCCCGCTGAGGGGTGTCGTGGTTGGGGCGTGCGGAGGAGGGGGAGCTCGAAGCGGAGGCGGAGGATCGAACGACCTTGTGCGCCTCCCAGTCGGCCAGCGGGATGGCGAAGTCGTCGGGCCCGGACAGGCCGAGGCTTTCGTACAGGAAGCGGAGGTCCCCGCGCCCGTCGCCGCTGCCGCCGATGCGGAAGCTGTTGACGAGGTCGAGGGAGCAGGCGACGGAGGCGGCGAGCGAGGGCGGCCCGGACCCAGGCGCGGAGGCGGCGGGCTGCGGGGACGGCGGGTACTGGCAGTAGTTGGGGGCGTTGTAGCCGATGTTCTTGGACGCGTTGCGGCGGTCGAGCCGGCGGAGGCGGCGCCTGGAGGAGCCGGAACCGCTGCCGCCAGACGGCGACGGCGCGGGGTCCTGCGCGGCGTGGGGCGGGCCCATCGGCGGCGGCCTCAGCTCATGGGCGCCCTGGAAGACGCGGGGGCGAGGACCGCGCCGAAAGCGAGAGCTCGGCTTGGGGACGCGGGGAGACGGCAAGCGGGTGGGATTTTTTTTTTTGGTTCGTAGCCGCGGCCGCGGCCGGGGCTTTTGGGTTTTTCAGTGGGTGATGAGGTGGAGCCGTGGAGGGGGCCGAGCGGACAGCGGAGGGAGGAGATAGCGTTGTCCGCATTGACTCGCATCTTTTCGCCGCTGCGGCCCGGTGGTCGAGTCAGCGACGCGACACGGCAACCGCGGGCAGCACAACAGCTGGGCCCCTGCGCAGCGCGCCTCTTGGCCAGCGGTGATCAGAGGCAGGGATACGGCCGGGGCTCGGTGCGGCGCACCCGCGCTGGCCCCCCTGGCGCGGGGTAAAAAGCTTCGTCGGAGACGCCGGACGGCAGGATGCGGTCTCGGCGAGTGATGGCGGCCGGGCGGGGGCCTTCACGGTGAAGCCGGATTCAGTGACTTTATGAAGCAAAGTCACAATGTAACTTTGCCTCGATCTCCACTCTCCAACTAGCATCTCACGGCTGTACATATTTCCAGGCCACGCACAGTAGACCAGCACAAGCGATTTCAAGCAAACGATTACGACAGTTTGCAGGTGAAGCAAAAATGACCGGCAGCAGCTCACTGTCAAAAATAAAACTGGTAGCCAATAAAGTAATATAGCTAAAAACAATACAAATAGCTCTATACATTTTAGCGGATGGAAAAAGGAAGACTAGAAAATTAACGACTCCGCTAACCGAAGCAGATGAAAGAAAGGAAAACGAAAAAGCAAATAAAAAATATGAAAACATACCAAGATAAAAAAATTCTGTAAACATGTCAAGATCAAGAAACCCCTCTTAGTTTATAGATTTATTATTTACTAGCAAATGTGCCGGTGCGATGCAACGAAATCAGACTCTGTATCATCGTTAGATGTTAGCTGTTTTAACTTGAATAAGCATGGTCATGTGTCCAAGTCATATATGATATACGTAGGGCATGACCCAATACGTATTGGAATAAGCCTCCGTATTCATTATTGAAAAAATGTGTGGAGAGAAATTTTGCATGTTTAATAATAACTAGCATGGAATGTTCGTTTGAACTTATCAGCCATAGTATAGTATTTTTCTTTCACTGCAAATCAGCTTCAGCTAGCTTATCAGCCGCAGAAACCATTAGCCGAATTCATAATAAATGATAGACCTCTCTCGATTTTTCACATGTCAACCTTTATCGAGATTATACTTTTATTTAGATTAGATTAGAGAGTAAACTGTTCAGGATTCCAGTTTATGAGTTAGACCATTAGTTTAATCGTTCAACTCAGCAAAATAAAAAACAACTAAAAAATCGAGCGGAGGCTAACAGAGAAATAATATGGAAAAAAGAAAAATGTAGATATAGATGTGAACTAAAATGTAGAAAGTTATTTGTGTTTTTAGAAATATTATTTGGTGGCTGCTAGTTTATTCTTGAGAGCGAGTTGCTGCCGGTCATTTTTGCTTTACCTGCAAACTGTCAGAATCTTTTGTGCTGCTCTACTGTGCGTGACCTGCTGTGTGGGCTGGTGGACCTGGAAATCTGTACAGCCGTTAGATGCTGGTTGGAGAGTGGAGATCAAAGCAAAGTTACATTGTGACTTTGCTTCGTAAAGGCCTTCTTTAGTTGGACCCTAAAGTCCAAAAAGTTGCTACAGTACCTGTCACATCGAATATTTGCGACCCATGTATGGAGCATTAAATGTAGACGAAAATAAAAACTAATTGCACAGTTTGGTGGGAAATTGCGAGACGAACGTTTTGAGCCTAATTAGTCCATGTTTGAACACTATTTGCCAAATAAAAACGAATGTGCTACAGTAGCCTCAAAATCCAAATTCACCAAACTAAACAAGGGCAAAGTCACTGAATCCGGCTCCCTTCACGGTGGGGTTTGGCGCGGGTGCTGACGCACGGTGGGTGACGTGAGTAATGCGGGCAGGGGCAATGCGTGTGAGCTCAAAAGAGCTGATGGCTTGGCACGTGGCCAGATGTGCAGGCGATATTCAATATTCTATCATGTGTTAGATTATCTCCAACAACATCAACCAAAATACGACACTTTTGGGTCATGCACAGTTAAAGCATCCCCACCAAAAACTTACCTTTCTCCAACAGTGAAGAGAACGCAAATCCCCTCCCCACCTCGTCGAAAGCATGCGGCCTCCCCCTCCGCCTCGACGTCGTCCTCCGACCGACGCATTACCAAGACGTCGACGTGGCGTGCACTCCTTCTCTTCCTCCTCCTCTCGCCAGCCGCGCTGCCCCCCTCCTCGCCCACGCGCTTGCGCTCTCCCCCCAAGCTCTTTTCTTCTCCGGCGGTTCCACCTACTCCCCCAGTGACGGGCGCGACTCCTCGGCGGTCGTGGCTCCTCCCCTCCACCAACACCACACCATGGCGGCCGCCGCCACCGCCGCCTCGGTGGCTGGGCTCGTGGTCGTCCTGGCGTCGACGCTGACGCTCATAGTGCGGGTGGTGCCGGAATCGTTGCAGCGGGAGTGCGGGCCAGCCGGCCCGACGAGCGGCATGTCAGAGATGGATTTGGGTCGTGGAGAAAGAACGACGCTTTTTTGGGTTCCCTCTCTCCTCGTAAGCAAAATAGGTAGTTGTTTTGCCTACTCTATTGGAGGGATTTTTTTTACCGTGCATCATGCATTTTGGGTTTAGGTAGCCTTATACATAGGTTGTTGAAGACGGTCTTAGTGGTACTGAGCTGATGAGCTCAAGTGCTCAACAGTTCATGTGTTGGCACGTGCGTGCTTGTAAGCTTGTTCGATTGTTCCTGCCAGATGGGGAGACATCGTGCCATGTGAGTACGTGCATGTCTGATGAACTCATCACGCGCTCATCATAAAACTGTCAGCCTGTCAGTAGTTTAACGTTGTAGTATTAGGAGGAAGAGGAGGAGCGATTCGGCCCTGTTTTGTGTCGCTCTAGCTCTCTGGCTCCGTCGGCAGCTTCAGCATGGAGCAGGAGAAACCATATCAAACATTTGCAGGAGGAGAAGCGACTCCGGTGCCGAATTGAAGAGCCGGGGCTGTTTTTTATCGTACGAACGTGGAGCTGCATTTTGCGCTCTGTTCTTCTAGCTCTGGTTTTGGGAGGAGTCCGTGTGAAGCCTTGCCACTCTTAATCTCGTGCTATCTTGAGCAGCCGCCAATGCTCAGAGAGACAGGCCATGTCTATGCTTGAATTTGATATTGGATGCTATATACATACCCCTCTGGATCAAGTGCTAGGTCAAACGAGTCAAAGTTTAACTAAATTTAGATAAAAATATATCGGTGTTTATTATATTTTAATTACGATACTATTTTCTCTAATCTTAGTTAAATTTAAGGTAGTTTGATTGTAATTAAATCTAGAATTGTATATTTTTTTAAGATAGAGTTAGTATGAGCATCGGTTGTAGGGTCCACCATACAGGTTATTAAAACTAAAAACAAACACACGTTTTATTGTTTTGTCAGTTCATTTGTCTAACAGGTTTGAGCATGCCAAACAGCGTGCGGAGAGGACATAAACTAGTTTTTAGTTGTCTAGCATAAGACGTACTCCCTCCGTGTATAAGAAAAATATAATTATCACTTTTTAAGTCAAATAAATTCAAATTTAACTAAATCTATATAAAAATATTATGATTCCAAAAAAAATATTTTGTAGTAACCACAATAAATATTGATATTATTTTATATAAACTTGATCAAATTTAAAATGTTTGACTCATCCTAAACCTAGGATTGCATTTTTTCGTTTTGGTGACCGAGGAAGTAGTTTCTCCGGTGCCTAGAATTTTGGTTGAAGCATCGTCAACTGCAAACGGCAAAATCAAGGTTTTTTTTATTGTCTCAACCTTTAAGTACAAGATGTAGTATCTAAACTCATGCACTGACTCACACCACACACTGGCACACACGTCTCCGGTGCCTAGAATTTTGGTTGAAGCATCATCAACTGCAAACGGCAAAATCAAGGTTTTTTCTTATTGCCTCAACCTTCGAGTACAAGCTGGAGTATCTGAACTCACGTAATGACTCACACCGCACACACGCACACACGTCTCCTAGTGTGCAAGCTAGATCTACAACCTATATCTAGGTCTAAGATAACACAGCTGAGAGATATGACAGTTGCGGCACGTCTACGCGAGGCAATTGGAATTATTTAGGGACCTGCCCCGGTGAGAAACGGAGTCGATCCCAGGGATCGAACTCGCGTCCGGTGGTTCGCACACCAGCGAACAAACTGTCCGAGCTAACGCTCGGCAAAATCAAGGTCTAGACCTTGTTTCATCTATCCAAGCATCATTTTTATCCTACGCTCCGTGGTCTGGAGTACGTTTTCATCAGCGACAAGCTAGTGCGGAGCGGAAACATGTACTACCATTATAAGCACACGCGGAGAAACACAATCAAATGATAAGCACCACCAGTAGAGAGAAGACTCTCGCTTCCGCACGTTAGTCTCGCCTAGAATTGGACCGTAGACTAGTGCGAGCATTAGCCCCGAGTCCAAGTTTTTTTTTACGTTAGAGGACCTTTAGTCCCGGCTAGTAACACCAATCCCGAATTAAAGGGTCTACATTAATCCTAGTTGGTGTTACCAATTCGGACTAAAAAGTTTTGACCCTTTAGTTCCGGTTAATAACACCAACATGGACTAAAAGTAGACCCTTTAGTCTCGATTGGTGTTATCAACCCGAACTAAAGGTCCTCCGACGGGTTAGTTCAAAAGGAAATCATCCCATCTAAAGTCACATGTGCTGTGTATGTGGGTTGGAAAGATACACACGAGACAATGCATAAGGTCTTGAGTTCGAATCTCACGCAAGGCCCAGAGTTGGGAGGCATTATTTTTCTTATTCTCAGAGGACCTTTAGTCCGGGTTCAGAGCAACCGGGACTTAGAAAAAGTCATGCCTTCCCG